GGCTCTTTTTCCAGGCAACCAGCAACAAGACAAGAGGGCAGGGCCTGAAGCTGCTCCGTGGGAGGTTTAGGTTGGATATGAGGAAGTACTTCCTCGTGAAGAGGGTGATTAGACATTGGAATGGACTTCCCAGGGAAGTGGTGGAGGCACCACCCCTGGATGTGTTCAAGGAAAGACTGGATGTGGCTCTTAGTGCAATGGCTTAGCCAATGTAATAGTGTTAGGTCAGAGGCTGGACTTGATGATCATAAAGGTCTTTTCCAGCCTTGGTGACTCAGTGAGTCTGTGATACCAGCATCAAAGGCTGTGTCCCACTGTTAGACTGTTTCCAGTCTATCCAAAGGCTCTTGAGATGGTTGTCACAGAGCAGAGAATGCATATAGCTGCTTCCTGTTCATCACCAGAAACACAGCATGGGTGACTGCCCTTTCTTATTAGTCTTTTTATCCCTTGGACTTCCCCGTATTAGTTAGTTTTGCTCTCCAATGCTTCAGCTTCTGATGGTGTGGCACTTTCCTAGACCTGTGGGTCTTTTGATTTGCATTGACTCATATTCCTGTGGCCTCAATTCAGGCTAATTTCCTGGCTTAGTGTTTCTCAGTAATTTGAGGAGGCTCAGAGCTAGCCAGCAAGAAATGTCAGACCTGACAGTTAAGTCATGCGAACGGCCTTCACACGTATTTTTTTTCTAAAACAGTTTTCTTACTTTCCGTTTCTTACGTAGAATATTGCTCCCCTGTCCCTCCTTTCCACTCTGTGTTTCTCTCCACACCTCCTGGTAAGGGTTCAACAACAGAACGGGGGTGGGGGTCGAGTGGGTAAACGCCTCCGCCTTAGGCTTTAGTTGATACCTGCCAAGCCCCCTGAACATGGACAGCACCCACTTCTGCTCCAAAAGGGAATGAGGACACGGAGTGGGGTGTTTATAAACAAACCAGAGATGTACAAAGATATAACTGTAGTAGAAGCCACTGATAAGGTGAGGATCGTTGCGGTAAAGGGAGGAGGTTTAGGACGCGTGGCAGTTGCCCCCATCGGGGTCGCCGTTGTGCGTGGGTGCGCGGGGACTGAATTCTGGAGAGAGAGAGGAAAGCAGGGAAGACTGACGGGAGGGTTCTGACAGGTTGAAGGCAGCAGCAGTGGCGGCTCCCCGGCTGGAGGGCAGCAGGCAGCACCGCGTGGGCAGCAGGCACCCACTGCCCGGGTGGCAGCTCCCCTGGGGCTCCCGGCTCCGGCTGGGCTGGGCTTGGCGCTGCCCTCGGCTGCTGGCAGGGGTCTCAGCTCTCTGTTCTTGGAAGAACAGTTCGTTATCAGCCTTTATTCCCCTCTGGAATCCCACGAAGATCTGGCAGGCCGCAGCACAGTAGCGTATCCCTCAGTTCCTCCTTTTCCACAGAGGCAGGAGCCACCCCTGGCCTGTGCTGTCCAGCAACTTCTCTTCAGGTTAGAGTGAGTTTCAGGTGCCACAATATATTATCCCATCTGCGTGCCAGCCCTGGCCCAGCCAGTCTTGAGTCCCGGGGCAGAACAGACCACCCAAAGGCAGGGAGGTAGACCCCTTCCTTCAGCAAGGAGTCAGCATCTCAGGTCTTGACGGTTCCAGGTGCCTCTGGCCAGAGGCACCGTGCAGGAGTGGTGTCCATTCAGTTGCCCTTACATGCTCAAATAGTTTTGTGAGTTTTAGTTTATAGTTTTAGAGTGACAGAGCCCTGGAACAGGCTGCCCAGAGAGGTTGTGGAGTCTCCTTCACTGGAGACATTCAAAACCCACCTGGACAAGTTCCTGTGTGATGTACTCTGGGTGATCCTGCTCTGGCAGGGGGGTTGGACTGGATGATCTTTCAAGGTCCCTTCCACCCCCTAAGATTCTGTGATTCTATGGGAGATGTATCTTTTTTGTGGTAAGGGGCATAACCTTTACACTCCTCCACATGGCTGCTGCAGAAGGAAATTTCAAGGAACAAGTTCACATGGGCAGAGGCTGGGCTTCGAGGTATGTCAGTTGCTTTTCAACTTGGCTGGCCTTCCCCTAGTTCCCAGGCATGGCACAAAATGGGCACCACTCTGCCTGCTCTGTCACAGAAACTCACACCTTGTGTCCCATCATTACATCCTTGGTTTGGGCCTCTCTAGGCTCTTGCCCCAGGTGCATTTGTTCTGTCAGTATCCTGGGTTGCAGCATGTTATCAGGACAGAAGACTTGAAACTGAGGGAAAAAACTGTGTTTAGCCTGTCATTACAGGGCTGCTTCATGAGCTGGAGGAAAATAAATGTTTTTTTTTCCATGAAGACGAGACTTGGAAATGTATTAAGAAGTAATTAGTCATTGAGACATCATGAAAATTCAGGTGATTTGCATTCCAGCTAGCTTAGAGCAGAAAGACATCTGTTATAGCTTCTTCATCAACATATGCATTTGCATCTGCCTCTTCTCTTTATGCGAAGACATTCATTTTATTCTAGTGGTGCATTTCAGTCACTCAGAGAGAGCCATGAGTGGGAACAAAGAGGTTTGCTTTGGTATCCTGCAGGGGTCAAGTGTGCTGAGCCTCTCTACAAGAGCTATTGCTCACAAACCTAATAAAAATAATAGGTATTTAAAATCCTACCAAGAAGATATTAGACTCATGCATGCTATTTCAAGTGCTCTTGAATGAGGTGCATGCTATTTGGTAACATCCTCCTATTAGCTTGTTTAGTCATATGTTACAGGAATTGCTTGTCATCACAAATTACCAGTTGAGTCAGAACGGTATGAGCCACCATATTTTACAACATTTTGTGGAAAACATGGGTTGTAATTACCATTCTGCAGCAGCAAAGAGGGAGGGAGGAAGAACAAAGAGGACTCATCTTAGAGGATTTTATATAAAATGCCAATTCATTTGATTTCAGACTCAGTTATTTTTCCTGTCCTCAGGTTTCCATACACATTAAGTAGGACTGGGCAAAAAGTTTTGCCAGCCCACAACCTCCCAGTGGAAGCCTAGAAGAGTGAAGGTGTTTAGAGAGGCTTTCCCAGCCCTTCACAGGGAAAGGATGTTTTTCCCCTCACCTTCTGGGAGACGTGGTACTTCCTCTTTCCTCATGCTTGTTCTCATGAATCCCTTCATGAGGGCTTCACCCTTCTTTTGCCAAAGAATACAGAGCAGGAAAGACCAATAAATTCCCGTGACACAAATTACTTCCTTTTTCATACTTCCTCGTTAAAATGGATGAAACCAGGTGATTCTGCACCTGGTCCCATGGACTCCAGTGCAAACCTAGGGATGGCAGAAGACAGACCTGACCAATGAAGAAGTGTTGCAATGGAGCCCTAAACCCTCAGCTGCAGAAGCCACGGCAGCAGGGACCGGTGAGGCTGAGCTGTGTAGAGCCTGTTACTTCTCCTCAGCAGTGTAGTGCGCTGTCATCGGCCTAAGGCAAACAGTCATTGGGAAAATGGGGTGTGCATCATTTGTTTCTTAAGAAAACCAAGCTACTGTGCAATTACTGCCTGTCCTTCTGGTAAAGAGGCACCGGGCTTGTTTCTTTCCTCATGCTGATTTCATACCACTTCATATTGATACTTAATGGAGCAATTGTTGCTTCAAGCCAATGGGACATGACGTTCATGATAGCAGGACAATAAAAACATTCCTGCCCCTCTCCAGTGTCTCCTCTTTCCCCCCCCCTCTTTCCTCCTTGCATCTGAAGCACCTAATTTTCCATTCTCTGCTACATCCATATTTGTAAGAATTGAGCAGATGTTTTTGCTGATGAATATGAAGTTGAGAAAAGATAGTTATTTTTCTCTGTATATTCACATCTCAGCTCCAGAGAGCTGCATGTGTTGATTCTTCTGAAGGTAAATGAGACTCCCTCTTCTACATATCTCTTTGCCACACCAAATAACAATGCCTGTTTAGATTGTTTCCACACACAGGAGAAAAACTGCACAGTTTTGCCTCAGTGTAGTAGAATTTTTTTTGTGAACCCGTGAATCATCTCCTAACTTATTCCTTTTATATTTTTATGGTCTTTGTTCTCTTAGGAGTACACAATAAACATATACACAAGTAATAAGCAACAGAGAATGCAAATTGCAAGCTACTTCCAAAAAGCCAAGAAAGTGTTCAATGAACTTTAAAAAGCTGCTGTTAAGAAATACTACTTTGCATCACTCACAAATAATCTTTTGAGCTCAATTCCATGAGAAATCATTACATTGCAGTAATTGATGTCACAGATAAAGAAAATCTCCACTGATGAGTGCCAGAGACTGAACTCTTCATGCTTTAAAGCCTGAACCAATTACTACTAATGGTTAGGCTTCAGAAAGGAACTTCACTTTTAGAAAGATTTATTCTACCTGTCACTGAAATGTTTATCACAGCCCACTGCTGGAAGCACCGTACTTGGGGTAATGAACTACTGAGCTGCTATCAGATGTTAAGGTGCATATTATGGCAAAGTCGTATTAAATTCTTCAGACTGCTTTAAGCTGTGGACTCTGGTGACAATCACAGTCCAGCATATTCCCTGCTCAGGAGCAGATCTCCCATTTGGCTCAAAGGCAGAATTCATTTTGCAGCCCAATCTTCCTCAAAATTCAGCGCATTCACATCTGTGGCACAGTCTTATGACTCCCATGACAGGAATTTATGCAGAAGGATGGCTAAACTGGATCTTAGGCATGCTTTGGCCCATTTTTGTGATAAGGCAAATTAACTGTCCCTTGGCAGTGCAAGCGTAGCACCTATCAACCTAGTACTGGAGTAAACCTAAAATGAAACATTTGATTAAAAATTTTATCTTTTATTAGTGCTATTCACCTGTTTCTTCAGGCTTACACCCTTTGAAGGAAAGGGCTCAGCAGAGCTGGAGCAGGGTAACTCATTCAACACCAACCAAAACACATTTGAGGCCTGACTGCAAGAAGAACCATTTAAGAAAGAG